TAGAGTGCTGTGGCCTCACAGCTCACAGCAACCTCCAACTCCTGGGCTCAAGCGAGTCTCCTGCCTCAGCCTCCCAAGTAGCTGGGACCACAGGCGCCCACCATAAACACCCGGCTATTTTTTGGTTGCAGCTGTCATTGTTTGGTGGGCCCAGGCTAGATTCGAACCCACCACCTTAGGTGTATGTGGCTGGCGCCTTAGCCACTTGAGCCACAGGTGTCAAGCCTCTTGTCTTTTTTTCTTTAGAGACAGTCGCACTCTGGGTTGTGGGCTGGAGGGGAGTGGCATGATCATAGTTCACTCAAACTCCTGGGTTAAGCAATCTTCCCGCCTCATCCTTCCTAGTAGCTGGGACTACAGGTGCATGCCACCACAAGTGGCTAATTTTTTATATTTTGTGTAGAGATGAGGTCTTGCTATGTTTCCCAAGCCGGTCTCAAGCAATACTCCCATCTTGGCCTCCCAAAGCACCAGGACTACAAGCATGAACCAGCACAACTGGGCTTTGTTTTGCTCTAATTTGCTAAGTTGTAATAACTGGGCATCTGGGATGGTTTCACCTGGATACTATATGACCAGAAAGGTACTTTATCTGTTTTCTCCTCCCTTAAAACCCATAGCCCCAGTCTAAAGATGAAAAAACATTGGGCAATTGTAAACTGAGGAACATTCTGTGAAATACTGGCACTCCTCAAACTGTCAAGATCATAGAAAACAAAGGAAGACAGAAAAACTATAATAGACTGGAGGAAGCTAGCTCGGTGCCTGTAGCTCAGCAGCTAGGGCGCTAGCCACACACACCGGAGCTGGTGGGTTCGAACCCAGCCCAGGCCTGCCAAACAACGACAACTACAACCAAAAACTAGCCAGGCGCCTGTAGTCCCAGCTACTTGGGGCTGAGGCCAGACAATCACGTGAGCCCAAGAGTCTGAGATTGCTGTGAGTGTGACACCAAAGCACTCTACTGAGGGTGACATAATGAGACTCAAAAAAAAAAAAAAATAGACTAGAGGAAGCTAAGGGTATGTGAAAACTTAATACAGTGAGGTAGGCCTGGACTGTATCCTGGAAAAATCATCAGCAGAAAAACTGGTGGAACCTCCCCCCCCCCAAAAAAAAAGCCTAGAATGAATTTTTTTTATTTATTTAGAGACAAAGTCTCACTCTGCCATGCTGGGCAGAGTGCTGTGGTGTCCTGGCTCACAGCAACGTCAAACTCTTGAGCTGGAGCAATTCTCTTGCCTCCTGAGTACCTGGGACTACAGGCACCTACCACAATGCCTGGCTAGGTTTCTCTGCTTTTAGTAGAGATGGGGGTCTCACTCTTGCTCAGGATGGTCTTCAACTCCTGAACTCAAGCAATCCACCCACCTCAGCTTCCCAGAGTACTAGGATTACAGGCGTGAGCCACTGACGCCTGGAGTTTAGACACTCGTTTGTATCACACCACCTGAGCTCAACCTCTTGTCAGATTAGAGGCAGCGAAACTCTCCTGTAAACTGGGCATGTGAGGGATCTGGGTTGCACATACCTTATAAGAATCTAATGCCTGGGACCGGGTGCGGTGGCTAACGCCTGTAATCCCAGCCCTTGGGAGGCCAGGTGCGTGGATTGTCTGAGCTCACAGGTTCAAGACCAGCCTGAGCCAGAGCAAGACCTCATCTCTAAAAATAGCCCGGCAGACCGGCATTCCAGTGGCTCCTCCCCGCCCAGTGAGCAGCCCAGTCCCCGCAGCACCGGAGGCGAGGTCGGCATGAAATAAATCAGAATGAGTTATGCGGAAAACCCCGACGAAATCACAAAAGATGAATGGATGGAGAAGTTTAATAACTTACATGTCCAGCGAGCAGACATGAATGGTCTCATCATGAACCACCTGGTCACAGAAGGTTTAGGAAGCAGCACAGAAGTTCCGAATAGAATCTGGGATTGAATCCAGCGTAGATCTAGAAACACTTGCCCAGAGGATCAAGATGCGGGAGACGATCCTGAAAGGTCAGATCCAGGAAGCCATTGCGCTGATCGACAGCCTCCAGCCAGGGCTCTTGGACACAAACCCGTACCTTTGCTTCAGTTTGCAGCAACAGCGTTTGATCGAGCTGATCCGCCAAGGTGAGACAGAGGCCGCGCTGGAGGTTGCACAGACGCAGCTGGCTGGCGGAGCAGGCCCGGCACAGCAGGCAGCGCCTGGCGCAGCTGGAACGCGCTGGCCCTGCTGGCCTTCGACAGCCCCGAGGAGTCGCCCTTCGGAGACCTCCTCCAGATGATGCAGAGGCAGAAGGTGTGGAGCGAAGTTCATCAAGCTGTCCTAGGTCATGAACATTGAGAGTCAACACCCAAGCTGGCAAAAGCTGAAGGGTTTGGTTGGCCGCGGGGCACTGCGCTGTCGGGCAGTTGCTTAGACTCCAGCCTCAGGTTCAGAAGGAGCAGGTCCTGGCCTTGCTCTCCGCGAGCTGCAGGCAGACAGGACATCATCCCCCTTCTCCTGAGCCTCGTCAGGCAGCTTCTACAAGTTTTTCTTTACCCTTGGTTTCTTGTTTTTCATAGGAAAGAATAGATAAATGTGTAAATCTTCATAACTCCTTTGAAGTGTGTGTGAGGCTATTGCATTGTTCTGTTTTTCCTTTTTGGTCTGGGTTATGTGACTTTGGGGGAAACGCGTGAGGGGTGGGGCTATGTCCTTTTAAATTTTTTTAAGTATACATTTGGTGCTGTGCGTGGTGAGAGACCCCTTCACAGTGGATCAGTGACCTTTCTCTGCTAGGCAGTTTTGTTGAAAATAAAGGTTTCGGCTGGGCGTGGTGGCTCACGCCTATTGTCCCAGTGCTGTGGGAGGCGCAGGTGGGTGGATCACCTGTGTTCAGAGGTTCGAGGCCAGCATGAGCCAGAGTGAGACCCCGTCTCTACCAAAAATTGCCGGCGTTCTGGCAGGCGCCTGTAATCCCAGCTACTTGGGAGGCTGAGGCTAGGGAATCACTTAAACCCAGGAACCCAGGGGTTGGCAGAGGTTGCTGTGAGCTATGATTCCATGGTACTCTACTGAAGGACACAAAGTGACACTCTGTCTCCATAAAAAAAAATAAAATAAAATAAAAGCAAAAAAAAATTTTAAAAAAGAAAATAAAGGTTTCTCTTCGATTTCCAGTATGACCCAAATGACTTCTAAACAGTGTTCATCACCTCAAACGACCTTTGGGTTGGGCTGTACTTTATCCTGTGATGATGGCGGTGGCTTTCTTTTGCACCTGCAGCTAGAAAGATGCCTTGGCCCTGTCTGGGTGCTGGGGGGCAGCCCTCCACTAGCAGGGTCGCTTGGGGGCACCAGGCTGTCAGCAGAGGATGGTGCCCAGAGCCCCATGA